CAGCCCGTGATGCGCTTCTAAGAAGGAAGTTAGAATGCCAGGCGCCTGCAGCACGCGAAGTGCTGGAGACAGAATCCGACCTGTCATCAAAGCCGCGCCGGCAGCCACTGAAGCAGAAATCACGCACACACACCGCTAGACCAGCGCGGATCGCACCAAAGCCAGCGGGACGGCCAGGCCAAGGAGAGCTGTGAGTGACACGATAACCTGACCCGGACATGCAGGGACGGCAGTGCATGCTACGAGTATGTCTTATTCGAAAGACCCTTGGCAGAAGAGAATGTGCAAAATTGTGCAAGGCAAGCCCGCTCAAATACACACACGATCACTGCAGCTCGAGACAGAACCTCGAAGCGAGTCAAGGCGCAAGCTCGTCAGCACTGCCTGTCTTCTTGGGTTAAGTGGCTTCGTGTGGGTCGTGACTGACCCCAAACCAAACCAGCGTGTTCCAAGCACGGTGTCCCGCGCCTGTTGCTTTGTCTCCATGGTCTGTGGCCACATTGTCGACTGACTCCTTCGACATTCTGGTGCTGTGCCGACGAACGACCCGGAGATCGAGTGCGCTAAAACTTGTTCTGAGACCTTCACTCAAGCATTCGCAGCCCGGTTTGGAGGCAATGCTGCAGGAGGGGTGCTTGTTGAGACCTGGGATATGTTGCAGACGCCACTCACCGATTCCCTGCAGTCCCGTCCCCTCGCACTGCACACGAATGGAGTTCAGGCTCCGGCTCGTTACAAATGTCCACCAAACTTAGCCTCACAAAGCTTGCTGCTCTGCTCTACCACAGACAGAGGGAAGATGAGGGCTTGGCCACGCTACCACGCAGTGCGGTGCATCACCTCATCTACTGCACGAGAGTGTGGGTGTGGGTATGCGCATCACACAAACAACCAACCACGAGCCAAGAACACGCTTTCTGGCCCACCTCGCCATACCCGGTGAGCTGCACCAAAGACCTCGAGCGCCTTGCATATCACATGCTCATCTGCCCAAGCCCCTGCCAAACATGTCCGGGAGCTAGCAACTTGCCTGCTGCCACTTGCCTGCACAGTCACAGGGGCCAATAATCACACGCCCAAAAGGGCAAGCCGACCTCCTGCGCAAAGAGCCGAAGAGGCGATCGCGAAGCTCAGATGGCCTGATCTGCGTTCCCGCACGAGCAGCTAGATCACGAGTCAGCACTCAAGTGCAGGCTCTACATTCGGCACACGACACAGAAGCCAGCATCAGTTACGTAGAAGCGAAACACTGCTCAAGTGGGACCAAGACTCCTCTTCGCTTTGTTGTCCCTGGGCTGGGAGCAAAAGCTTCGACAAGCCAGGGTGCTGGCTGCTGCAGATGCCGTGGGGTTTAAGGGTTTAAGTTTAAGGTTTAGGGTTCAGGGTTTAGGGCTTTAGGTATTCGCTTATTATTGCTATGTATGTCTTTCGATTTACTCATGCATCTTTCTATCTATATCTGGGTTTACATTTTTATGAACATGCATATATATATATATATACATACATACATACATACATATACATATATACATATATATATATACATATACATATCATATGTATGTATATATATATATATATATCAACATCTGTTTACAGACATATATCAAAATGTTCGATGTAAAGAGTTTGTGAACATGCGATGATCTATCAATCTGTTCTACGGAGAAGCCGTTTGCACTGGTATTTGCAGCACTCTGCGACGTCTGGTTATCTGTGAGAGCATGGAACAGAGACGGTGTGGATCTTGGGGGTGGCCATATATATATATATGTATATATATGTATGTATAAATATAAATATATATATATATATATATAAACCTATATACCTATATACCTATATACCTATATACCTTCGTACATATATATATATATATACATATACGAACACAAGAATAACACACAAATATATATATATATATGTCAATAAAGCGCGGATGAGTCATACCGCCGGGTGTTCAACACTTGCATTCAGCAGCCTCAATGTTGCCCGATTATAGTGGTCAAAGCTCGGTGGCACAGCAGCCTCTCACCGTGGAGTGGATC